CTGGCACATTCACTCTAACAGCGGTATAAGATCTACATTAGCTCCATTCGACAAAATGGGGGGGGGCGGTTGATAGCAGCCATACTTTAACCACGCTGTAACTAGTAGCATGGTACTAGCCAGCACTGGGGCCCACGTATTTAATGATGTAGAAAACGTACCAAGATAGGGTCTGGTCATGCTCAACATTCTACTACTGTTTGCATCCCTTTGTCACCCAGCCATGTCTTTCACGCAGTTCCCTTTATCCAGCCTGCAGCTTTCTTGACTTTCCCTTTGTCCTCCTGCGTTCTTCCATGCCTGGCTGATTCCCTGCAGGGGCCAATTTCATAGAGCTGCTTAAGCACAAAATTTGCTTAAGCGTGAAAAAACCTTGCTTGACGAATCAGGTTACCAGCCAAAACTCCATGTTATGTAGGCCTATATTGTTTTGGAATGGTATTCACCTGTCTTTTGGTTAGCACGACAATCACATAGATTTTTAGCTGGTAACCTTTGTTATTTTAAGCAAGGTTTTTTGCACTTAAGCAAATTTTGGGTTTAAGCAGCTCTATGAAATTGGCGGCCTGTTTGCTTGTTTAACCCTGTCTACTTGTCATTTTGCCTTTAGGAGAGATTCTGCAGGGATCGAAACGTCGGGCCCCCCATATTTTGCAATCTTAGACGCGTTCAAAAAGAATGCTCCTGTTTATCACACTCTCATACACACACTTCAGCTTAACGCACGCGAACGTTAGGCAAATCACACCCCTTTGGCTGAAGAGGCTTGTAACGCGCGCGTACTACCTGTCCACAAGCGCTATGCCACCGCAATAACAGTTCCTATTTCTGCTTGTCGAATTACACTATTTAATTCACTGATTCATGTCATTGCCCTAAACCCTGAAGTCATAGCTAGTAAAACAGCCGATTCGAACAAATTTTCAATCACTGTAATGTGCAGTGATGCTGATGCACGTATGTTCACTCTGCTCTGGAAATTCTGACTTCGCTGCATGTCATTATTTGTCTGAGCCTAATCGTAGCTAGTGGAGTGTGGTTACATATACATTGTACCTGTGTATTGAAAAATATTAAGAGCTGCAAAACCGTTAAAATGTCTAGACCGACACAGTACTCTTTCCAAACTCGTTGAAATCGGAATAAATATCGCCTCATTTTGTTTTTAATAATGAGAAGTTATTGCCATATGACGTGCACGTTTCACATAGTACATGTACAAGGCGTCAATGTCGAAGAAACAGCAGCAGAAGCGATGGGATGTCTGAGTCAGACTTAAATTATTTGTAAGGACTGAACTATCTCAGCTCAACCTTGTCACATTGCAACATTATACCGAGCGCACAAATATTTTCGTTCCTTCAGACAGCTACAACGGGAGATAAAATCCAGCTAAGTAGGCCTACTGTACATGTATAGTTATTTGACAACCGGGGAGAGAATAGACAACCACTGATAAATTACCCATACGGCCACATAACTTATTAGGCTTTCGATAAGCGAATTTTTTGACAAAGCCTTATATATGCTTACTTGCAAGTTCAAAATGTAAAATTGGGAAGTGAAGCATTTGGCACACTTTCGTTAATTTTGGAGAAAGAGAAACATTCACGACACAACCTTGAACGTGTTCTTATTCCTCCATGCTAAAAACTAACATCGGATGGTACTGTCAAAAATATAAGGCCTCGTTTCAACCATTTTCCACAAAAGCAATTATCGGTGGTATCCAAAGACTCCAATCGACCTACAAAGCTTCAATTTAAACCCAATGCTTCTTGAAAAAATACCAAATTCACTGGTTGTAAAATCCATGCTACGCTGCGTCCGAATTATATGGCTACGGTTTTGGCTAGCAGCTGCAGCCGCCGCCTGTAGATGCATGTAGTAATCCCTGTCATAACCAGAAAATTGGACGAGGACAGATGGACGCCCCGATGACGGGTAGGTCCACTGACAAATGATGAAGGTACCTTTGCATGGGATGTACGTACAGTGTATAAGGGGAGATGACCGATCATGTTGAATTCGAGGAAACTGCTTAAGTCAAGAGCTACATCCATTACTTCACTGACTACGTCGTACAAGCACAAGCACTTACAAACTGTGTTGTAGTAGAGACTACCACAAGAAAGGCCAGATACAAGACCTGACAAAAGACCATGCTCGAGACCAGTCACAAGTGACAGAGTGAACAATGATTAAGGAATGCTTCTGTTGCAGTTCATTTGAATAGCTTGTGACTTGAATACACAATGGAGGTCTTGTGTGGTTTCGACTACAACACTGCTAACAACTGGTAATAACTGCATGGACAGTTAACAGCATTAATCCTAGAAGAACCGGGGGGGGGGAAGAATCTGCCCCCGACTTTTTCCTCCAACTCCGCCGCAGTGCACCGTTTTCATGTACTGGGTACCAAAGAGTGTTTGTTAAAACATGTCTAGCGGTCATTTTGACACCAATTTCGTGAATTCAGACATGCCATTTTTCCAAAGACAGGTCAGTCAAAAATGCGTACTTTTTCCACTGTCCATGCTCAATGCACGCAGGCTGACACGAGTGAGGCCATGAACTTTAATTGACCATTACATCAAAACCCTACATCAGATTGATTTGATATGTCAAATTTTCTACTGACAATAAATGTCTTTATCTGCAAGATAAGTGTCAACATGTTTGAGCATGTAACAGTTGAGTTCTTGTCCCCAGCTGCGAGATAGTCTTCTAGGGTTAAGCCTAGTAGTGTACATAAACAGAGATTAAAAGAGCACATTTGAGTTGAATTTTGCCCATAACATTCTTTTAAATACAGACATTCATTAACTATGTGCTACCCACACTTGAAACATACAAGTGATGTTGATATCTGTCACCAGAACACACACACACCCCTAAAAAGCAGAGTTGATTCAGTTTATCTCCAAGTAATTGCTTAAATTATTTTAATACCTGACCCTTTGTATATAAGGATCATTTTCTAAATTACTCCATTATTTAATGTCTGACAACTGTCACCCTCATACATAATTAAATAAATGAATAAAACAAAAGTAAATAAAATACCCAACAGATGCTATCATTTGACCAGTACCACTGGCCAGGGATATGATGCAATTCAAGTACTTGGTGAAGTTGAAAAAAAATCGATTACATCAGAGTATAAAACAAGCTTCTTTTTGGCTAGTTTGGGGTACTTAGTTCATAGGCAGTACTGTAACACAAACATTATTGGACTGAATTCTCAGACTTGAGTTGTAACCTGCGCACAGGTTGCCACAATACTTGATCATGTATATGACATAATCTTCCAATTATCTTCCATAATCTTCCAGCAAAGTACATCTTTGTGTCAAATGTACATTTTTACAGATGTGAGAACAACTTAAGGCTGCAAAGTAAAACACAAAACAAATAAGTGTACTTTGACAACGTGCCTCTGCCGCTCACAGACCTAAGAACTTTCTAGTATCACATCGAGCCCTACTCTTTGGTATAATACGGTATCCAGATGACCCCCTCTGGTGTTTGCCCATTAGAAGTCAATATCTTCTCAGTCAGTCTCGTTATATTCTGGAAATAATTAATTACACACGCCGAGATACACCTGTTTGCTTGTTCTCAGTGAGCCACTGTCCAAAGCTGTTTCATTACATCAGATTTTAAGCAAAGCTTAGGTCAGAGTACCAGTGCACAACTGTAACATCTGTGACACCATCTAAACTTCAGACATTTCTCCTTTTTTTAAAGTTGCTATCATTCCCAGACCCAGATGGCCCAAAATGAGATGATTGGGACACTTCATGCCTACTGCTGACACTGTCACAGTCCCTGCAAATGTAATATCTGAACATCATGGAATGGCACCTTTAAAGATCAATACAATAATGGCATACCCATCAACAGGTACAAAATAAGTTATCAAACCACTACTTGGTGCAACTATGGTATAGAACTGTGTGGTTCGGTCAGCATTCCACTGCATGGCAACATTTGGCACGTCACAGCAAAGTGTTTGTCAGGAAGTGCTCTGTGTTCCTCTCGAGCTAAATGCAACATGCAGGTCAAAAGAAATTATGCAAACAATTATCAAAACCATCACTGCAGACTCTGTGTGTATCTTATCAAGGTTTCCAGAGAATGTTTGTAGATGGCACAGTATATAACAGAAAGTGTCCACCTTACTGACATCAACTTGGATTACGTCAGACAAGGCTGACAATTTCTATCTTCATGGCAACTCATATACCTGCACACTTAAAGCAATGCATATTACCATGGAGCATGATGGTCCAGCGGAAGGCTGCAAGGGTTGTGTTCAGGGAAAAAACAGTTAGCTGTAAGTTATTTCCTATCCTACCCATAGGGGGTTGGTTACCTCAAGGCAAACATTTATTTGTTTTCTGACAGGCATTAGGGAGGTCACAGATTTCTAATTAGAGTGCCATCTTCAAGGGATAACTGAAGCAGTTTCAGAAAAATGTACTGTCTTATCTCAAGACAAAAGGCAAGAATACTTGTACTACAAACACACAACTTCCTAACTGGTGTTATGTCCTAGGCTGTGAGAAAAATGGAATCGATACACAAGTCGATACATTACTTTCACAATCAATAAAATGTACTCCATTCCAAAATGAAACTCAACTGATCATGCATCAAACAAGGAACTCCATCAATGCAACTACACAATTTTGCTGCATAATTTTTTCAAAAGTTAATTAGTGGCTGATACATGCATGCACAGAGCCATTCCTTTGTTGGCTCCCACAGCAAATGTGAACATTTCACACCCCCTACATGTGCAGAATTAAAATGACTTTAAGTGTGATGAATCATGCTTACTCTTACCATCATACATTATAATTTACTTCTTACAGCTCAAGAAACTGACCTGTGATTCGGCACATCGCATTTCTCTAAGCTTCACTGACTCTCTGGGTTAGAATCTGCAATTATTTCCTCTTTGTTCAACAATTCTTTGGTATATCGCAATGGATTTAAAGCTGATTTGCCTCCGAACCTGCTAGTGCATAACACATTCCACTTAACTGCATCCTATAACTCTTCAGGCTAAATTCTACATATAAAGTACTTGCTCTTTCATAAAACACGGATGCCAAGTAACTTGGAATGTCCCTTAATATGGTGCACTGTGACTTTTCCTTCAAGCACTTTGCTGGTGCAAACATTTTAACCTTGGACAGCGCAAGAAGTAAACTTCTAGGGAGATTCAAATGTCTATGTCCACTGATTTTGAATCTAGTAATTTAATTTCCATTTTATAGAGTGACATAGTTTTGACACAATTTCCCTAATGTTAGTTTTAACACGGTGAAAACTCTTTCTGGATGGTGATGGATCTATTTGACGAACATACAGTTGGGTTTGTGAACCTAGATAAGAATAGCTACTCACAATGTTGTAGCATTGAAAGGAAGTTTAAGATTAATTGGGGATTTGATCTTTGTTACATTGTAGCATGTCAGAAGATCCTCCCCAAACTTTGTGTCCAATTTTCAGATACAATCTGTTTCACTCAGTAATAAATTTCAAGACACCAAAATTTTGAGGAATGTTCTAATTCAAGGAGTTTTATACATACAAGTGCAAATAATTCCAGAATGAGTTTGAAGCTCATCAAGAGTGGCATTAAAGATTTCTTGAGGAAAGCTACAATAAAAGTCACACTGCTCCAAATTAGGGACTCCACTGCCACTTAAGTTCACATTACTAAAACATTCACTATCGATGAGAGCTAAACACCTTTCTCTCTTTAGGCTTTCTTCCTGCTAACTTCAACCATGTTACACCTATAAAAAGTTTGGCAAAGAAAGTGTGATGGAACAAATCCATCAAATATGCACACACACCTCAGGATTTCACCTCGGTTCTTAAGATAACTCTGCTAGGTATCTAGTCTTGTCTGCAACATTCAACATCAAGAAGCTTGTCCAGGATTTTTCTGAAGCTACATGTATAATTAGAAAATGACCAAGCCTAACATAACAATTATAAAGATGAATAAAGAAATTGACTGCAAAGGGATTTGGGCCTGCAACCTCAGGAATACTGTACTGAAACTCGACCAACTGAGCAACATTTAGCCATGTGTCGATGGCTCTTTCCAATTTAATATCTTTGTTCAGGGACACCTGCCAGGAGCCATGAACCCTGTGACACCAAACTGCCACGGATCATGCCAAGTCACAAAGCAGGCAACATTAGCAATGTCGCAAGCCTGGAAAGTTGGTGGCAGGGAACAGTTAAGGGGTGTTTCTCAAGATCTAGATCAGGGGTGGCATTTCTGTTCATTTCTGTGTGGGAACAGCTCACAACAACAAGATGTTCTGCCCTGCCCTCTAAAAGAAAACATCTGAACCTTTCTGATAAAAGTCATCTCTGGTATTTACTAAAAACTCTTGCAATACCTTGGCACAAGCAGGAACAACTGACCACAGGGATATACAATAAATATCTGACTTGTATAACGATTACAAAAGACTTATTAACTGAGTTGCAAAGCAGACACCCTTCAATCCACCAAGGTTTCCTGGACTTCCGACTCCACGATGTAGGTGCTCGCATGCTTGGCCAGGATTCTCAGCAGTGGGCGAAGTTTCATCCACCATTGGTTTGTTGGGATGCGGTGTCTGGAAAGACGGAGCATTTTTTTCAACAACGTTTTATATTTTACAGAAGTAAAGAAGACCTGAGGTACACTCTTCAGGAGGACAGGGCAGTGTTGTACTTAAGACCACTTACGACCTTCACAAGACCACACAAGACCAACATAAGACCACCAGTCGGAATTCAAGTCACAAGCTCTTCAAATGAACTAGGACAAAAGCATTCCTTTGTCATTGTTCAACCTGTTACTTGTGCATGGTCTTGTGTTTGGTCCTGTGATGGTCTCGACTACAACACTGTCTGACAGAGCAAAGCGTACAGTAACTTGGAGAGTGTGTACATACATGTATATTGTGCTACCATCATGGACTATTAAGACTCAAGAGCAAAAGATGCCTGGAAGTCAGTCATTCATTCGAAAATGTCCCGTTTCCTCTGTGCTTAGTCTGTGGAAGAGTGTTATATTACAGGAACAACTAACGATACAGTGCTTTGATCTCTGAAGATTCGCATGTGAGGAGTGATTTGACAAATCTTTGATTGAAGCAGTGTCTCAGCATAAAATGTCCAGAATCAAATCTCTTCATGTTTCAACTTGAACTACTGTTGATCCAAGGGTGGTTTCAAGGTATATGTAGGCATTTTCATACAAATGACATTGACATGGTTAAACCTTTCAAAGGAAAGAAATTTATTTAACAAATTGGCCAGGGTTGACAAACAATCATTTTTCTTGATCGCCTCACATATTTACAAGAGAAGAGAAGAAATCATTTTCTTGACAACATTAAGCAAAATAACTTCAAAATCCTTTGAAACATTCAAGAAAAGCTAGAGGATTTGCCACCACTATCATGAGCGAATGCTCCCTTACTCTGGGAACAATTACATTCCATCCATGCATGTGTCCAAATGTTAAAATGTGAAGTTTGTCACAGTGAAGTATGAGTCATGCAACCAAAATAATGCCATTATGCAACTGAACGACCAGGTTTACAGGCTCAATCTTAAAAGGATATGGGTTCTGCTACAACAGTACAAAATGCATGGGTATGGAGTTTGTTATGAGTAATGCCAGAAATTAGGGGCCCAAAAGTGTGGCATTTTTGTGCCCCCGTTACATCTGATCTGTGATATCTCACCTGGAAATATCACTGGAATTGATGGCAAACTATTACTATTTATTTGGCAAGTCATTTGCATCAATCATCACTCTTGGAAATTAGAAAATATGTTCTGAACTTACAAAATCATATGTCAGATGCAACAGGGACGCAAAAAAATGGACCCCTAATTTCTGATATTACCCATAAGCAATGGGGGCTGCTTCAAACTTACTCAAAGTCGGTGATTTGTTTTAGCTTCTGCACTGGTCGGAAGGCAAGTCGTCTCTTCTGAATGCCTAGCAAGCATGCTGTATCAGGGCTATTGGTGTAAACCACCCCTGTGGGTGAAAATGCACAATAAAATAATGCCATTGGTTACAACACACTAACCTGTGAACAGCGTCCAAGTTGAGCTGGCAAAAAAGAGTTGCTTTTACTCAGTCAAATTAGGGTTTCTGCTTTCACAAACCAGAATGAGACCTTAATGGCCACAATCAAATACTAGGAAACTCAATATAGGCGTATCTTGCGATATCTCTGGACATTTCTGTTTCCCCTCACCCTTCCAATGGTGGAAAACAGTCTGCTGGAGCTTGAATGGAACCACTGGCGTGGAACACACATTATCAAAATGCCTTTCATAACTGAAGGGGGCCATCCAGTAATAAATAACATAAGCATGGCTATCTGATTCGTCCATGCCACGACACTGGCTATAGTGCGGTCAGAATTAGTGTCAGAGTATTTTCCAAGTACCAAGTTAACTGCTTGATGTCCGGTTAGGTACCAAAAGATATTGAATACCTTGGACAATCAGGATCTTGTAAAACCTGAGCTTGTGTGACAAAAATTTTCGGCTATCATGTAATGGCCGGAATTTTAATGGAGACATTTTTCTATGTATTCTAAGCCCCTCCCCTTTCCTGACTTTGTTTACTGTCAACTGTCATAATACATATATCTCTCTACGTTCACTGCAAATAGCTCAATATTTGGCAGAGTAAAAACACGAAGAAATTCTTGGACTAAACTTTTGGTATGGAACCTATCTAACAGTCTACTGATATAATGTAAATGCTGTTAAAGCAGACAACCAGTTATGAAATTCTGGGCGGTAAAAAGTGTCGATCACAACTGTTTCCAGATTAACACAGAGAACAGGCAGACCAAATCACCCTCGGGCAATAAATGCCATGTGTCTAGAACTCTGAGAAATCTTTCAAAGATACTGCAATGAGACAACAATCCACCAATCTGGACAATCAGCAGTCTCACTTGGCATGAAATCACAGATGGACTGGCACTGTTGAGCCGGTCCTTATCATGCTTTAAAATATTTCCTGTGGGGTGAAAAAGTCATTACCACATGATCTGCATACTGACCAGGCTCCTGCCTGGTGCCTAAATGTGACCCACTCTGTGAAAATGAGTCTTAAGGTGCCAAAGCCACTTTTTGAGTTTTCATTTGTATTGGAAAGAGCAAATTGAGTTTTTGGTTTTGATGTATCACTCAGTTTGGCATCCTGATGAAAAAGATTGTCATCCATGATGACAAATGCTGTGGGTTCCTATTGATTTACACTGTGCAAAATTATTCTAAAGGACTTTTTACTCCAACGTGGCTCTGGCGACTTAAGACTCATTTTCACAGAGTGGGTGACAAATGTATCCAGTTTGTTAGTGACTTCGTTATACAGGTACGTGCTCCACTGAATACAAACTCCCATTTAATGAACACTCAAGGTGCACATTACTTTCCGGTTCCAAGATTCTGTGTAACTCTGTGCAGTGGGCGTGGTTTAAACTGAAGTGACGTCACACAAACTGGATGATATAGCCTGTTAGTACTTGTCTGTGAGTGAATTCATCCAAAGGCTAATGTCTTGAATCCTAAACAGACATGGTGTTTTGCGGTCATAATTTACAATTTTCATTCTAGTCTTGAGTCCACAAGACAAGAAATTTTAAGGGTATGTCTTTGCCGACTCTCACCATCTTTCAAGCTGTTCTCGATGGTTTCTCTAAGGAACTCTGATGCGCGGACAGCCAGCTTGGTTCCCATGTTACGATCAAATACAGACGGTGACCCTCCCTGAAGAAAGAATGTAAGCATAGATATAATGAGTCCAAGAACAAGGCAATGGGCCAAAAATTCATCTAAATGACAAGAAAGTCTCTCTTTCCCCTTTTTAGGTGACCTAAATAACTTTAAAACTAGGGGGCCTGAGCAGTTTCTCTGGATTTGTAATAATTATCTTTTTCTTCCAATTTCTTACAGTAATTTGGATGCCAAAACTCTGACATACAATTTAGCACAAAAAGTCCATTTTTCCCATAACAGGTAGGCCCAAAATGTTTACTTTTCAACTGATGTGTGAGACTATACACAACAACGAAACCAAACAAACGTCAGACTGAACTAAAACTTCAAAGATGTATCCATAATATGTCTCTACATGTGTGTCAAGTTTCAAAACGATAATTAATGGGACTGCAACTTGCTTGGAGGGGTAGGGTTTTGCTCTTTCGTGGTTGACAGAACGACATAAGTGACTAAAGCAAAATGCTTATATAACCAAAATCTACTGCATTTTATCCCACACAAAAATCAGATTGACATTGCTTCTTAATGCATCAAGGAAATTTAAACTTTAAAATAGGTCCGCACAAAATTCCATAACCTTGTCAAGATTATAAATGTAGTCTATTTTACATGACTTTTTGGGATCTGCCAAACGAAAAAAAACCTCCATGACTTTTGCGGGCTTTTCTTCAGCCAGCAAGACCTGTGCCAAGATACACTCACTTGCTGCATGTGTCCTAGCACATTACTGCGAGCTGTGAAAACATCCTTGCCTTCCTCCGCAAAAAGTCGCTGAATAAAATCTGCCGAGAAATTCGCATTTGCCTTCTCATTCCTGAAAAAAAAAGAGGTCCAGATGAGGGGGGATGGACAAGCAGCTTTTCCTGCAATGAGTTTAATGTCAGATTGTGCAAATGTACCTTATTCTCTTACAGCAGAAGGTCCCACTTTTTTTTGACATGTTTGAATTCACAAAATCAAAACTGACTGGTTCAGTCAAAACTGGATTATCATGAAACAGAGCACAAGTTCTGAAGGGCACAATTGATATAGATTCAATCGAAACTAAAAAAATTACCACTTTCAATCCCAAACTGACCCTCAATTAGACAAACGCATAATCAAAAATGGAGCAATTAATCTGTATAAAAAAAACACTGTAAACTTGTGGGCTTCGTCGTCATGACAAACCTTAACAGCAAGCCTCGTTGGACATTGTCTGAGATCTTGGCCTTGAGATGCTCCACGTCTGCCTGAAGATCGGTTATCCCAAAATGTTCCTCAAAGATATAGGCGGCGTCCGCGCCACCGGCGAGGGCGCTCATGGTCGCCAGGTAACCACAGTAACCGCCCATGGTCTCCACGATGAACACGCGCCGCTTAGATCCACTAGCTGACTGCTTGATCTTATCACAAGCCTGGAAGGCCATGCCAAAATGCATGGAAAAATCAAGTTACAGTTAAACAGGTTAACTGGTTCAGATGTCCACACCAGCAAGCCACAGGTCATGAGTTCCAGTCTTACCAAATGAAACTTGTGAATTTTTCTCCTCCGAGATCTCAGAAAGCATTCAGCCTACAGTGCTTAATAAATTACACCGGTGCGGGGTAAACCTTACGTTCAAGCAATAACTAGTTGACCAATGTTGCCTTAAAAATGGATGATTGGACCATTAAGTCAACCAGGGACCAAGTCCTGGGGCACAGTCATATTGCTGGTTATCAATAACCTTTCTCATGATTAATTCAACAGGAAGTCGCGCACATGAGAATGATCATGTGCAAGAACGGATCCAGAACAAAATTGTTAAGGGGGTCAAACTATACTATGCAAATGATCTTGCTTAAAGATGCAAAGGACACAGCATGTATGCAGCTGATGGGCTTATTGTTTCAACACTTCCTAAAAGATTTGCTCACCTCAGTGATGTTATTGAGGGCGGTGTCACACCCAAGACTGAAGTCTGCTCCCGGTACATTGTTACTGACGGTGGCCGGTATGAGGACCATCGGAATACAGAATGCAGGATATTTGTCACGTGCCTCTGACATCTGAATAATGCTCTGATAGCCCTGATGCAAAAACAAATATATATGAAACCATTTGGTGTTTCAGTGGATTCTTGAGTGAACAGTTTATTTTCATCAGTTCAGACAGTCTGTGCATTCTGGGTCATTTTGTACAAAGATTATCTCACAATGAACTAGTCCTGCCGTAGGATTGTTTAAAAGGGAACACCTCCCAATAATGCAAGGATTTGCAGACACATTGAGTGCACCCACAAACGTACCTTGGCAAGTCCTTCACGTCACTGTTAAAGAGAAGCATTGTCGGTTAATACGTCTTCAGGTACAAAATGGTTCACTAAGTTCAACATCTCAGCTCCACTTGACTCTGCCCACCACTTTGCATGAGATGTTTTTGGGTTTTGGGGGAAAACACCCAGGGTGCTATGTTGCCAAGTTACACCCTCCTTTTGAGCCGCCATCACTGGCTGATATTTGTACTTTGGTTATTTAGAGTAGGTATACCGTGAGACAGAGGTAGACCATTCCTGGTCCATCCACAGTCACTCGGACATCACACCATGATGGCAGCAGGAACCTGGCAGTTGGCCTAGCAATGATTAAGCTTGATCAGTGACCATTGGTCAACTACTGGCGGAATTTTTTCCTTGGTAACCTATGCATAAAATACACCCTGGGTATCAGGCAAAAATTGACCAATAGTTGACTAGTAGTCAATGATCCAACTTCACCCTTGTTGTTCATTCATCACTGCTTAGATGGGAACTCATGCTAGAGCCAATACAGCAAACAGCTTGCGTCATGCTAAAAATTTGTTCTGCTATATCTTGCAGTTTTAAAGTTTTTGTTCTGGGAGTTTTACTCACCTCGAATCCCCCTATCACTAACAAGCCATTCACGTTGAATTTCTTGAATTTCTCTGCCACTTTTTCCAAAATTTTCGCAGGTGTTGTTCTGTGGGGACAAACAGTTCTAAGACATAAGAACGCACACTGAAGAGATACATTAACCACTTCATGCCGGGGTATTTTTCAATGTTGATGATGCTGGGCCGGCATGAATATCATTTTTTCCGTTTTCAAAATCCTTCAAAAATTCATCATTTCATTTAACGGTCGTTTATAGCCACCCCAAGTAATCTTTAGGCACTACTCTGAGTTGACAGGTGACTTTCATTGACGCCCGAGTATTTCAGCCAGGCCAGCAGCCTTGTAAACAGAGCCAAGATTGTGCTTTTGTTCCCAGTGGTAATCCGCTCGCTCTCAATGCCCCAAACCCTGGTATACAGTTTCAAAACAAGGCTGGATTATCACCACTTTTGAGAGTGAAAAATGTCGGTAATGCCCAGCAGCCTGGTCTTTTGTTCGGAGTATGGTCTTTTGTTACAGGGCCCTGTTTCCTTTGTCCGAGTACAGAGACCCCAGCCACCCATATAAACCATACGTCTCCGATTCCGGAGTCCCCGGCAGGAAGTGGTTAAAACAATGAAAAGAAATGAGGAAAAAGGCAGGCATAACAACTAAGGTTCTTACAAACAGAACAGGTGCAAATGTTCAGCATTTGTGCCAAGTCTGACTGTCAAAAGAGCATATTCATGAAACGACTGAGTCCTTGCTGGTAAACGCTGCTGCTTCGTTGAATAGTGAGAACACCAGTTGTACAATGCATATTGCAGTAATCACAAATGAACAACACTAATTTCTGATGGTCTCATATTTCTTCACATTTTGAAATAAAAAAACCCGGGCCGGGTGATATTTCAAAGAGGAGATGAAAAGAAATGAGGATCTTTTCACCAAAGTCTCAAGGTAGTTCATTTGACACCAGTTTAATTTCATGGCCTTAGAGCCGAACCAGTTGGGCTGAAAAGGTCACACTATGGGCAAACCAGTACAGTTAATCAATTGGTACTGATCTGTCAAAAAGTGATCACATGGCCCTTCTCAAATACGCATATATCTGGAATGCCACGGACTCTGATTGGTTGAGCTGGCTACAGCATGTTTCAGATGATCAGAGATGAGAGATATGCATGTTGATTGATGATTGAAAAGGAATGCTACCAAAATGAAGTTATGCATTAGCCAGTGAAACGCCGCAGTGTGTTAAACCTAGACATACATGTACAAGCACCGAGGTAAATGCACACAGCACACGTCAAAACTGCAAATCAAACTTTTAAAGAACCATACAGCTGTTAAGCAGAAGATGTTGCTAAGCAAACATTTGCGCTAAGCGGAAATTGTCTGGGAACGAGTCACATGAAATACATAGTTTACAATATTTTGGCTAGTAACTTACTTTTGCTAGGAAATTTTTTTTTTGCTCAGGAAATTTCTGTGATTAGCACCTCTTTGAAGTTGCCCCTATCTGCTTACAATATTTCCTATTCCCGCATTTGCATGAAAACTTGGCCCTATGTAAAGCACGGACATTGATGCCTTCATTAAAATTTCAGTAAAGGCCTGTTCATGAAACTGGCAAGACAATACAATAATCTTAATCGACCACTTGTAATACATTTATCTGTCACCATTTTACAACTTGAGAATTATGCAATACAGAAAACTGATTTTTTTTTCAGCACAATCATGTTTAGCCTACCAGTGCATCACTCAAGAAATTGAAAAATGTTAACAAGCATTACCAAATGCTCATTGAGTACTTAAGCTGAACAGTAAGAATTCAGCACCTTTTTTTCCCGACTTTTTCAGGGTGGAGGAGACTCCGAATTTGTCTCTCCATATACATGCACATCACTGTTGTCCTTCAAATGGACATGAAGCATAGGGGGTTCCCAAATAGAAAAGGGAATCGGGTGCCATGCTAAGTGGAGCTGGGAGATTTGCTTTGTCTGCCCAAATTGGAAGTGCACTCTCACTGGCAATGAAGAGACAGATCACACAGCACATTCATACAGAACTGGTCGCTGATGACCTCAGCGGGTCCTGAGCCAATCAGCCAACACACAAGAACCTGTGCACCCACACTGTGAGTTCCCACTAAAGGACTGTCATTGACATGTAAAATCCTGCAGTGTCTTCCCTTGATCCCTCTCAGAGCAGACAGGTGGCTCTCGCTCAATATGAAAGGTACGTGTAGTTACTTGTCATTTGTGTTGGCAATTTTAAGACAAAAATTCATGCACTACACTACTGACATGGTATACAGTGGCTGCATGTATGGACTTTTCTGTCATGCTGTGTTACGCATACGATGAAATGTGACCAGATCCCACAAAATAAACCTTACGGAACTGTTAACTTGGTTCTTTTTCACTTGCATAAAAAAGGGATATTAAGCTCTTTTCTTCAGCGAGTCACTCCATTGGCATTCATACAAAATGACCATTATACAGGTGGACAATTTCAACAGCTGCTACTGATTTCCACTGAGTTAAGATTTCTTGCTTGTGATTCATTTTGATAGGTTTGGTCACAAATATCGATAACTGCTACAAATCCTAATGCATTCCTTCTCAAACCCACATGAAAAATTACACAACTGTTAATTGCTTTGTAAATCGAATGCCCCCAAACCATGCTCTGTCATTTCACTCCAAGCCATTCTCTCAACAAGGAAAACCACAATCAAAAAAAGCAATGACAGGATGAGTTATTGTTCAGGGATCTACACTCTGAACGGAAATGTGGTCAATCCTCTAGCCAACAAGCGGCCAGCGAAGATGAAAGAGAACAAAAAGGGAAAAACAAAAGCTTCACTGAAAAAAGAAAACAAATGTTTCAGTGTTAAAGAGAAGCAAAGGAGGACCAATAAACAATGAAGGATAGCAAGTGCCAGTGGTCAATTTGCCATAAATTTATGAATTTCTTAGTATATTGTTTGCAATGAACTTTTCCCCCTTTCTTTCCAAATTGAGCATTCGTAGTTGGGCTTTGTGCTGGAATGGTTTTTCAATGTTAAGCACTGATTGCACAACACGTGCAAGTAATCGACAAAAAATAATCTATGAATTAAAAACTTTGCGTGTGGCTGATGAATGGAGACAAACAAAAATGAGAGATGTGACCATCAGTACACTGGAGCCTACAACGCACTGAAAATCTGTATATGTAAGTGGCTTACTGCTCTAATTGGTTTTATAGCCATTGTCTCTTTTCAAGGCTGACAACTTCCTGCTGTCATGGACACTGCATACATATGCATGAGTCAATGCCCTCAGAATGTCAAATGCTACTGTTGCCATTGATGCTGTGAGCAGAAGCTGAATGAGTGTAAGGAGCTCTCATAAAAAGATGCTATACTTTTGTGCACATTCAGTTAAAAATTGAGCAGGGGCGCGGATGCATATTTCATTATCTTTAAACGCTCTTGAGAATGGGCCAAGCACTAAGTAGTGCCATCAACAGTTCTTGAAATTATTTTATTAGTATGCATATTTTATGATGACAATTTTACACTGTTCATTGCAGCGAAGCCTATAGTAAGAATCTGTGACTGACATGAAATGAAATGGAAAACTCTATGGGTTTCATAACAGCACATCCTTTGTCAACACTTAACCTCTAAATGTGCACTCACACTTGTAGATGCCCAATGAAATAAAGGGCTCTTTTTAAACAGGTTTTAAATTCACTACACAATGCAATGCCATTGTTGCCATGGCATTGTTGTTGAGAAAAGGAAGTCAACATATCATTCAATTTGATGCAGTTGCCTGCCTGACTTTGCCTACATAATGGATCAGATCACCTTGACACTTGTGAGATACGTAGCCCTTAAACTGCAGCACTTTGCAGGGAAACCTTAGAATAAAAAGTGCACACAAACAGGATGCTTATCCTCAGACATGCTTGGGTAACGTAACAAAATGGGTGTTTGTACTAAAAGAATGGTGTTGGCTCTAACTGTACCCAGTTTCACTCAGATTTTCATTTCGCTGAGCCTGTAGGCCAGAAACCAATCTGTTTATTTACGTTTTTGCTTTGTATCCAATCAGCACATCATTCTTGTTGATTATGCGATGCACTTTGGAATGGCAGGGCACCGCAAAATATAAACTGTTTGTCCCTCAGCCTGGAGCAACACAAAAACCCAACTAAGTAATGCCCATTTTGGAATCTGCGCTGTATACAAAATGAGAAGCCTATAGAACTAAAAAATACCCATCAGGCATTGGGGTCTCTTTGGCTGAATACAGGCCGCTGTAACAAATCAGAAAACAAACAACACGGAAGTGCTACGCACAATGGGACACACACAAATGTACAGCAGTGGTAAAGAGAAATCTTTGTTTTAACAAACAAATACATCTAAAGCAGTCTTAAGCAGTCAAACATTCATTCAAAAAAGCAAAAGCCCAAATATTGCAGTATTCAAAAATGTAGTAATCTGGCTAACAGGTTTATGACTATGTTTGACTGATTAGTCGTTCCTTTTTGATGGTTCCAATTTATTACAAGGCAGATTTTTTTGAATGCTCATCTACACTTAAGGTTTAATCAACAACCCCCATACGCATCCTGTCATCAATTTGTATCTATCACTGAGAAGTGAAAAGTACAGTTCCGGCGCCGTTCTGATACTCGTTCAGGATTAGGCTCCCCCTAAAAAAGCTGTGTTTCCGGTTATCTGACCAAACCTACAAAATCACAGGGAACCTATATCTTTTTATTCGACGAATCGATAAAATATAAAAACTGATGGTGCCTTGCTCCGAGCCTAATTTTGTGTACATCCTGTACAATGCATTGGTTTAATTTTTTTTTGCATCAGATGGACGGCTCTTGTGTGTTTGTATTTCAATAATCAGCTGCTTTACTACTCAATCACAGTGCTGATATGTAATATTGATGTGCACATGTACAGTACATGTATTAACCTGACACCAACTTAATATCTGTTACAAGTATACAAACCCCCCCCCCAAAAATAGAGACCTTCATCCAACCCTAATTTTTTGGGCTATAAAAATTTAGAGCAAAAAAAAAGTTTATCCAACCAACCACCCTAATCTATTTTTCAGTGTAATAGGAAACACAACTAAGTCTTTATTTGGCCTTAGTCCATTCCATTCATAGCTCTCAAAGTGAAAACAAGCAAAATTCTTATCTTTTCCATGCATGCACTGCAGTGACTCTGAAAATCAAATTTTTTATGTCCCTTCTTGAAACTGATGCAGCCAACATAAAAATGTGCTCGACAAACAGCCAACACAAGACTCAGAGTAATCCATGCAAATGAACTATGAATTAACCACTTCACAACGAGAATAATCGTTTTTTTAAAAAGATATTTTCCCCCTCACCTGTTCGTTCCGAGCCGGGAACCTCCAGCGCTGACAAAATCAGCCACATCCATCCAGCCAATGTGGTTGACCTAAGGGTCAAAGGGCATGGGTCAGGAGGTAGGTTAAGTATTTCATTTCACTCAACAAATGTGTCAAATTCTTAAAGCATTCAGAAACACATTCACCGTTCTTCCAGCAGTACACCTCAACCACTTGACATCAGGTTTGTCAGAATTCTGGACGCCAAATGCATCAACTTCCAGGAGGAAAGATAACATTCAAAGTGACAGTGGAACTGTTCCTTCCTCTTTCGTTCTCCTTAAACTCCAGTTTTATCCTTCATCGGCAAAGCTTGAATCGATGGTCCTTGCAAAGGTGCCATGCAATGAGCCAGTTCAGTATTCCAACACTGCTTGCCCAAACTGGAGCGCATCTGAGGTCATTCGGTAACAGCAATACACAAGCGGGACATCTTCCCTATTATTGCAGCTGACTCTTGTGTGTGCTTTTTCTCTAAGGACCTTGCCTTTTTGAACCACCACATTGGCTCATTATCTCCTCCTTTTTCCAACAAATACATCCCTTTCTCAACTTGACAACACTCTATAAAGGCAACTTTCTGTAAGTGAATTTTTGTGGTCCATTCAGTATGTGCACATGTTTACCACATATCACTCATGTCCATTTAAATGGCCAATTTCCAGAACTTAGGCAGATTAACCATGACACGCACTGGAAATGCACCCATGGAAAGGCATCTCTATAGGAAACAGCATGTTCATTTTGCCACTTATTTGGAGAAATCCCCGCTGAAAATTGAATTAAAATTAACTAATCTGAGCATAAGATTTTCGTCATGAATCAAATTTTATGTCTTGGACATCTTTTTTTTGCAAACGTCATTCAGTATGACAGATTTTCTTTTGAGAAACCTTGGTACAAAGAGAAAAATTCTGGAACGTCTCCATTCTGTGGAGGGGCTTATAAATATCGAATGAACAAGAGGACACATGATCTGGGTTCATGTCAAAGGTCAAACAGCCCACAATGCATTGATTCCAAGCAGAAGACGGCATTACGAGATAATGATGAAGCTGTAAAATCGCCACAATCGGTATTTTGGACTGTGGTTTTCGGAAATGTACTTGAGAAAAATGTGATAGGTCCAGTCATAAAAGGATGATGGTTTTGGGGTGCTTTTTTTAAAGCTTGTGTTGTACATTGATTTTGATTTCACTCAATGGTTTTTTGCAGTCCATTTTTTTGACAGAATCGAATGACGTACACGACTGCCGACTTCGAGACCCGATTATTTGTGAGACGTATTTTTAATTTCATGATTATGGTTTTAATTTGTGTAAATATTATCACCTTTCACCACATATAAATCTGTGTAAACTAACCATGGGAATTATCACTCTCCAGTTACTTACTGGCTAGGATTTCAACAGGTTGTTCACGTCCATCAAAAATGCTGACATTTGCAACTTTAATTAATCAAACTCCGATTAAGTTGAAGATGGGCACGTTCATTATTGTTCCAGATATCAGCCATGACTTCCTTCATTTCATCAGACATTGGGAATTAATTTACTGCTATTCACTTCAAGAAAAATGAACCCCAAAGTTGAACATTATCTAATGGTCAATATTTTGAGGAACCTGCCATATACTGCAGGTTTGGATGCTCAAAGTGATTTTGACAACATTGGAAAACTGCACTATTAGTGCAATCACTTACATTTTCTTCCAAGAGACCATCAAAGCCATCATGAATTCCCAGCACGCCGTAGCCATTGAACAGTGATGCCCTGACAAACGCTCGGATGGCTGCATTCATGCCGGCAGCCGGAGCGCCAATGTTCATCACACCGATGTTCAAGTTGGACTGAAAATGGAGACAACGATTCAGCAACTTGTGACTGATCCAAGTTAGAAATTTCTTGTATGCTATTTGTAATAACGCTATGCCCTGAATGTGGAAATATTTCACCGACTGTGGTTTGTTGACTTTCTACAAGAGAAACTTCCCTACCGAGCGTGGCAATGCATCCAACACAGGGAATGGACAGGTAACATGCCAACATGACGAACAGCACTTCTTTTTGAAAAGGGAAACAAAATCTACTCCATCAGCAAGTACAGAGAATTAAGACTCCAATAATCAAAATGTCATATCTATGAATAATACAAATAATACTAAACATTATTTATGTGGTGCATAACATTTCAGAAGTCCCTATGCGGTTGTTATTATTATCCCTGCACATTGAGCTCACAACAACCGAACATTCCCGCAACCATCTCAGCTCCCTGGGGAGTATACGAGCCTGATGCTGCCATATCAGGCGCACACAGCTAACATAACCAAATCTGCCCTCACAGGTACCCATTTACTCCTGGGCAGATGGAGGCACATGGGGGTAAAGTAACTTGTCCAAGATCACAACATGCTGCCACCAGCTGGATTCGAACTTCCAACCCTATGATCAGAAGCTGCAAACCCTGACCACTAGGTCGCATGCCCCCCTGAATGCCCCATGAATCTATCAATGGATGACCATTTCAACCTCTACTGTTTCTGACCCAAACCCTGACCACTAGGTCGCATGCCCCCCTGAATGCCCCATGAATCTATCAATGCCTGACCATTTCAACCTCAACTGTTTCTGACAGTCAAAGAAGATGTACTACCTGGTTCTTCTCAGAACCACTCGACTCAAAAGTTAAGATGACTCAAAAGTTAAGATGTATCTCCATGATGTGAGCACACATCTTCCACACTTTTGAAAATGTAAAACCTTTTTACATTTCAATCCACAGAGAGTTGGCATGGCTAGAATCTAGCACGCCGGTGCTTTTCTTACACAAAGAAAGTTTCTCTAGTGGAGCAAAAGACCTGCCCTGCAAGATGGCAACCAGGCAAAGCCTCTTTTGGTTTGACCCAGTGGTACTGCAGTGATACTGCCTGCCAAACATCAGGAGATCACTGATGTATGGACTGGATGAAATGCCTAGTGTGTGGTTAATTCTCTCCTTGCCACGTCGCCTTGTAAGAAACAGAAGAGTTGACACATTTTTCCAATTTTCAGAATAATTTGCAACCTGTGTGTTTTCAGTGACTGAGTACACACATGTAGTTGATACTATGGTCCCAAAAACTTTGAGTGCAGTTGCAAGGCTGTCACAGCGTGTGAGATTTAGAAGATGTGTGAGATAATACGCAATGCCTTGAGTATAGGCACGAGCAGTAACAATCTCAAACTAGGCATCAATCAGAGAAATCAAATACACAGTTTTAAGACAACAATGACTTCTGAGAGATGTGAGTTTACATGGCAGGTTTCACGACTTACTGCACAATTCTTCCCATCTAAACTACAGACTTTGTCCGGGGGCTTCAACTTGGTCAAAGTCAGGTACGTGCGCAAGTTGTTCACAAAACTCCTGAAAAAAAAAAGACACACATGGTGAAAAATTATTCAATAATTGTCATTTTTTAACAGGAGCACATTTGTTTAATGTACATGTAATAATTATCAAGCACAAGAGTTGTGATTCATAAATTTAATTGTGCTCGACGTAACTGTCCTGACGTGAATTTTTAGAGTGTCCCATTTCGAACGCAGCAAGACTATCTTCACTTTCTACAACGTGGACATAACTAATATTTTTTCCTCTTCTCTTACCTTCCTCTAAGCTCGGCTGCCAATTCAAAATTGCCTTTCCCGAGTGCCTCTGCGACGGCTTGCGTCTGCAGCAAAAGACGGCAAGACTCTTGAAACAAAAAAACCTAAAACAACAAGCACACTAACGCATTGCAAAACCTAAGTAAAATATTTTAGTGCTGGTGAGCAAATCCCAAGGTTGAAGCCAAGCCCACGTTCAATCAAAATGTACCACAGACACGAAGCTTAAAATATGCATTTTTGAAAAAAAGAAAGTTTTTGCCCAAGGATTTTCCTTTGGCAACAAGTGGAACATTTTCGGTAATGTATTAACAACAAAATAATGTTTCTGCATGCAGTCATTTGCAACAAGAAAAGTCGTGCGAGTGATTCTTCGCATTTGATAGTCCACAGCTATGTCAAGATTCAGATGTTGAACTTATCTAAAGAAGCAGGTGGCTTTCAAGCACTAGCAAAGTTAATTGGCATTGACTGGCATTGGATGCTGGATGATAAACCACACCTTGCTTTCCTTGTGATTTCCAAGTTTGCAGAGACTGATTGAACAGCGTTGTATTCGAGTTCATCACTTGTCTTTCCTTGTCATAAGTTATCAAACCACCGACCATTTACCCAGGGATGTGCAACCGTGAGCAGCCCAGTGCAAACACATGTGCGACCTTGGTTCCATGCGTGTTACGGATTGTTATTACCCCCACAGGCGCTCTCAACTTTTTCGAAAAAATTCGCAACCACATGTTGCAGCATGCAGCATGTACAGTGCAGCCGTGGTTATGCCGAGACGACGTGCCAACGCGGTGCTTAAAGCTATTCGTTTTGACGAATAACTCTTCTTCATTTATCGATTTCAAGGAGAAACAAAGTTTTAATGAGGCAAAATTCCCCAATTTTGTGGTACACTTTTCTCAGAATGTATAGGATGAAATATCTTGAGCAGCATATTTTAAGAAAGGGTGTACCATGACTTAAAATATTACAAGAAAACAAAGTGGTAGACAGGAATATATGTTTTATTATAAGAGAAAGTGTTACATAATCCAACTTAATTTCTGCTTTGATATTGTGCCAGCTGTAACACGCACTGAAACCAGCTCTGAGCTTAAGTTGCACATCCCTGGGTAAATGGTCCGTGATCAAACTTTGCAGTGGCAAAAAGCATTCCTTTATAATCGTTCACCCTGTCGCTTGTGACTGGTCTCATAAATGGGCTAGTGAAACAACTTGTGGAAGGGCTTGTGATGGATTGGACTCTTAATACTGCTGATGAATTGACATCCTCTACCATAAAAGCTGTGAGAGAAACTTACCCTGCGCACACAGTCCATCAGCGGCATTCGGATCGCTTTGTTGCCGTCTAAAGTAACGACGTAAGCAGGTGTTTCCTGGTCTGACTCCACCAATGAGAGGACAGCCTCTGCTCCCATCCGACAAGCCTGGAGAATCATTAACAAACTACTTATCCCTAAAGGTGCTGATGACGTTAAAAAAGTCTATGCAAAGCTCTTTGATAACCTGCACATGATCTTATGTAACAACGAACTGGCCCAAGTAGCAAGATGCAGGTGCTGACATGAATGCATCTAGGCTGAATATCCTTCAAAATACACATATCTTACACTTGAAGTTTACGCATATTTGCTCTGAAGAGCCAGTCCTTGTAAGTTTTGTAATCTTACAGGGCTTGCAAGGTTCAATAGTGAAGGAACAGGCATGCAGTCCATGGGGACAAGGTTCCCATACCTAGGCCTGATTCACTGTGAAATAAAAACCGTCTGAAATATTTCAAGGAAAATAATGTACTTCAATAAGCCATTTGTGAGTTTAATTTGAATAAAATCCGGTACACTGAGTTATCTGACTGCACATAAATGTAACAATTTGAATTCCCCAGACTAAAGACACTGTTGCTATATTTCGTGATTCGGGGCAAGCCTTTGCATAGCGACCACCATCTCTGGAATAGACTGGTTCCTTTGTACCCTTCTTATCCATTGAGAACAGTGTATTGGTGCAAGGCGTCTCTTACGTAACTAAGGAAAAGCTTGCCCCGAATCACGAGGTATAGCAATACTGTATTTAGTATGGAGAATTCAAATTATATTTGCGTGAATTTGTACCAGATTTTATTCAAATTTAACTCGCAAAAGGCTTATTAAATTGGAAATCTAGCACTCCTTTCATCAGCACTCACCAGAATCCTGTCAAATGCAGAGGGATTACCCCCCCGCTGTACATGACCAAGAACAGTCACTCGTGTGTCATAGCCAAGACGTTGGACTATCAGCTGGCAGGATGGAAGATAGATAACTACCAACATTAGAAATACTCACATGAAACAATGGAAAATGTGTGGCTGACCCTAAAGGCGAACAGGAGGGAATTAGAGATATCAGTCTTGGAGTTTGCTTCAAGATGCATGTCTGCACTGTCTCAGTACTGTGTAGTAAAAGCATTGTTGTTTGGTGTATTGATGGCTGTGTGAGATTTGTTAACACTTTGAGAAGTGTTCCTTGCTATTGTACTGACGGCCAGCCATAGTTTGCCAACCACTAGTGGGCTAAGACTACGGCTTTGTCCGTATTACTTGGCTGCAACTGGAAATAACACATCCTCCCCCATGGAAACCACTAGCTAGCGGCTTCATGCATTTCCCAAGTAATTTGGGAATGGCCGAACACTGTAGTGTAGCAAGGAAAAGGTCTATGAAGTCTGCTCTTTCCATGTCACAGTTGCATTTTTGCCTGCCAGTATCTGCCCTTTATAGTTGAAGTGCTCCCTCACCGGTGAAAGACAGACAGACTGGTGCGAAGTTTTCAACAGGGTTCTTGCACGCATTTGGCGTGCACGTGAAGACGATACACTCTAGAATAAGTTTGTTGCGCGTACTCAGTGTGCTCTGCATCAAACACGCATAAACTTCCGCACCTATGCGGTGAGTTCGTACCAAAGGATTGTCAATTTCATTTTAAAACGCGCCCTCATTAGTTCCTGCTCGGGGCGGATAGCTGGCCAAACTACTGCTGGAAGATGATACAAAAGCAAAAGGGAACAGATGCTGATAACACCTGAGTCGAAGGCGAGGGACATAATCAGCATCCATTCTCCTGAGCCAATCTTAAACGACTAGCCATACACAAATTTATTCCCAATTATAAATACCTTTAAGTCAAAAGTCAAACCAAGTTTATAGATTATAAATCTCCAATGATTTTGTTCAACAATTTAACTTTTGTTTTTCAACATCCCTATCAAGACAAACATACTTGTCGTAGGCAGTCAATGTGTTAAAAGCAACATTCATATTTCTTCAAACTGTGGCCAACCATGCGGAGAGCAAGTAATGTGAGAGGGGTCTATTAGAATGATTTGACAAGTAACAGGAATGGCTCAACTTACATCTTTGATTTGCTGTGTCGTGATTGGGCTGCCTTGCCTGTCTTTGGCGCCCTCAGCTACGATAATGATATGCAGCCGTTTCCCAAACTCTCGGGTCTGAGCGAGTTAACAAAAGAAATTGTTCAAGAAATTTAACATTTCTCACGTCTTACATCACAGGAGCTTAAGAACCAGTTCATAAGGTGATAAAAATAAATTTAAAGGGGGGGAAGAAATAGAAAAGGAAAAGAAAGAGATGAACATGACCAATTTGTGCCCCCAAACTTAGAATCCACCCCCTTCCGCTGTTGAGTTGTCAGTTTGCTACCGATAAGTGCTTTGACCTTCCCCCTGAAATCATCCTGGCAATGCCCATGTTTTAGATGATATACTAATCCAAGGTGACAACATTACAGTGGTGGCACCACATTCACGCATGCAATTTTAAGCTCACGCGAACAAGTTATGAATTCATAACTTCCTACTGGCACCATCACAGTAATGGCTTATAGGGAGCTCGAAACCAGGTCTTCTACGACCAGAGTTGATTCCCACCTGCGCTAATTTCTTGCAGAGTTTCTCCTGCCAGTTGGACTCCGGTGGCCACTCCGGAATAAAGATCCAGTCCGCTCCGCTGGCCAGGCCGGCCACCAGGGCCAGGTAGCCGCAGTGACGACCCATAACCTCCAGCACAAAGGTTCTCTGGTGACTGACGATAAGGAAAACAAATTATGAGCAATGTCTCAAGGCAGCCGTCTTAATGCTCTCTGCTGGCTGTAAACTCAACATGTACAAGCCAATGCATTGCAGGCATCCATTACTTGTAGACTGAGAGAAAAGATTGCAACAAAGTCGCTTGCTCAAGAACATAAGTGCCACGTTTCGAATGCTGAAATAAATAATTTTACTTTGCAACTCTCTTTAACCATTTGTCTTTGTCTTGCAATACTCACTTCCTGTTTTTTAGGATGCCAGAAATGGCAGTATTTGTAAATTCTCTTAAACCAAAGCAGTGATTAACCATTCAAATTTATCCTCTTTTACCAGTAACAACTGGTGGCATGGAGGATGGAAGTTATTGTTTTTTGAGTCATTTGTTTTGGGTTTTTTTTGTCTTTGTATTTGTCTCTTTTTCCATTATATTTTAATTATATACATTTTCTTAATGAAAAATGCATCAAGAAAAAAATCACTGGTTTGAAGTTTGGCAGCAAATAATCTGTGCACCAATAGGTCGGATACAGTAAACACACAACTATCATTTCGTTTTTTGGGGGGTGGGGCCTGGGATCGAAGGAGGGAGTCACTCACCTCTGAGCAGTTGTTGAGATGGCATCTATGCACTCGATGATTCGATGCAATGCCGTGTCTGTTCCAATTGTCATGTCTGTGCCACAGAAGTCGTTATCGATGGAGCCCACCTGCACGCCAACACAAGTCCACTCAGAATGAGCCGAGTTAAAATCAGTGACCATTTGTTGACCACTGCTCAATTTTTGCCTGGTAACCTATTCATAAATTATATCACGGGTACCAGCCAAGATCCACCAGTGGTTAACAAACAGTCATTGATTTGAGCTTGGCCCTGGAGGCTGCTAGCCTCTTTGGTATTACAAAGGCTGTGTCCGAAACGGGCTTCCGGAGCTACGGCTAGGTCTAATGTCTACGCATCTCTACACATTGCCAATGGAGGGAAGACCTAGACCTAGCTCTAGACAACAGATTCGGCTGTAACCTCAGACACAACTTGGCCCATCAGACAACTGCTGGTAAACTCTGAGAAGAACTTTCTTGTAGCTGTTCTTTATCTTTTTGTCTTGCGAACTGCATTAACACCAATACACTGTACCTTAATCAAAAAGTTGCGCAAATGTACTGTCCACAAGATAAGCATGAGAGGCTAAGTAGTTAAGAACAATGGGGGTGTTGGCGCAATCTTCTGAGTTTCTTTCACCGAAGTCACAGAGAGCATACTGCTCAAAACATTGATTAAACTGGCTTTTCTCAGTACCAAAATAACTCACAGAGCGGCACAGGCAAATTGGCAGAGAGGACATTTTTATTTTTTGGGTCCACATTCTCAAAGAACTAGCATGACAACAATTTATTCTTTGAGCCTTACCATCCCGACGATGTTCAAATGGCTGCAATGTTGCTGCTCATCCTCGGTGATCAATTCTGCAAGGATGTGACAGAGACCGAATATGTGACCAGGTTTTACAAAGTGAGTCCAAAGGCCATTTTTCTGTTTGAGTTTGCAAAAGAATGAGCAAAACTGAGCTCTTTATTTCGATGCATCACTTAGTTTGGCTTCATGGGGAAGATAGACATTATATGAGTGAAAAATGTCAAAAGTCCCCATTCATTTACCCTAGGCAAATTCTTTTAAAAGCCTTGACACTAAAGTAGTTCTGGTGAGCTGTGACTCACATGAGCATATTAAAAGGTATGTTAATAATTTTAACATAGTTCTAATTTTGGTAAAGTTACCAACTGCATTTGATTTCCAGAACCAATGCACAGTCTCTACACATTTCTAAGTGTCTAACTGGTACAGCCCAAGAACAATTAATTTGATCAAGTTCAGCCTCAACAAGGCAAAGAACCAAATGTGTTGAGAATAACTGTCATGTCCTCAGGGAATGATTCCCTCAGTGTAGGCATGAAGACCAGTGGGAGAAATGCACTTCCTAAAGACTTACAAGGATGTATAACATATGCCGATCACTATAATATAAGTTACAGGATGTAATGGCAGAAGATATCTTTATAGGCATATCCAGGGCTGTGAACAGAGAGAAGTGTGATGTGATGTGATGTGCTGATGTCTTTTAGTTCCCAAAATGTTAAAAAAATGTTGGTTTGTTAAATGTAGAGCTGCATTATCAAGTAGAAAACTAGGACAATATTTCTTCTACGTGCAGGTACATGTACATACACACCGAAAATGACCAATGCGGTGCACTTTTGCAGGTAGACTTTGGAGCCAAAATGGTATCTAATACGAAGGTCTCACAAATCTTTCAACACACAGCCCAAAGAGAAGTCAAACCTTCCTCCAGGAGCTCGTTAAGATGCTCCGCCCACTCCTGCCTGAACAGATTGGCACCAGTCAGGCTGCCGTCCCCACCAATCACCACCAGGTTGTTGATCCCTCGTTTGACCAGGTTCAGAGCAGCCTTCTTCCGTCCCTTCCGTTCCCTGAAGTCCTGGCACCTTGCGCTGCCGATCACTGTCCCTCCCTGTGTCAAAGAAGTGTAAAATTCTGTGGAATGCTGATAAATGATAGGGAATTTTTTTTCGTGGCCAAGCGAGGCTGGAATTCTTGGAGTCGGCTTTCAGAAAGAAATTCCTGTAGTCAACTGATCCCTTAAAACGCAGAATTAAGGCCACTTTTTCCAGTAATTTTCTTTTTCTTACTAGCATTCAACAGAGCAAACTGAGCTCTCTGGTTCAATGAAACATTCCCCTTGTGAAAAAAGTGTGTTCACACACGCAGTCGTTAACTGTGGTACACGTACATGTATCTCATGACAAGACACTGTGTGCCCCTTTGTTCCTAGAACACTAATTTAATCTGAGCACATTTTCGAGGTCCTGAATGGTCCTGAATTTCGAGGACCAGATCTGAATAAAAGATTGACTTTTCAGGACAGGAAGTATCCTTTGTGCCCTTTATGTGTGTCGATCCTCTGTGGTACAGCCATACCAGACCACACATACTATGCACGATGCATTCCTCACGTGCTCTCCAGGGCACAGCCCTGCGTACCATTGCTGTACAGATTGATTCAATTTCTAACCAACTTGGAAAGGGCATTACAGATATTCTTTTATATCCGCACAACAGTTCTACTTACATTGGATATGAAAGTCTTTTTCTTCAATACAAACTTCTTCACAAGAGAAAAAGGCTCTCTAGGAGACTGTCTTTGGTAATGGCCAGGTATGCCTTAACTAGTCATCTATGACTTCAAATTGGACAACTTACCCGTTGAATGATACCAGAGACATCTTTCCAAGTCATTTCTTTGAAGCATTTGCCTCCATCCACCATGCCTTGATAGCCCTGGAGAGACAACCATTTAATCACTGCAGTCACTCCAGCCACGTACAGAAAGACATTAGAGTCTGAAACTGAGGGACCCTCAATACCATGTATGAAAGTACCAAAACTTACAGTGAAAGTCTGAAAATAGACTGGTGCAAGAAACAACCTGTCCACCACCGTTTCATACTGCTTCAATCAATCTTGTCAAAAGAACCACTTGGTACCCAGTCCCTATTTCTACCCATTCTCATCACAGTCACAATACCAGACTACTGAATGATCAATCAAGGCAGGACATGTACCGGTACCACTCTAGTCTCAGGCTGCAGAATGAAATCGCTTGGCTTCATTGTAAGTTGAAAATGTTCGAAGTCACCTTTGAAGACTGAAATTGTGACCTTAAACTTTGTAGATGAGATACTGAGAATCTTCTCTCTACCTCACAGAGTTTGAGATAATTTTTTCAGCTGCCAGAGGAGTTAAGTTGGCACAGTGGTTACAATCCTTGCCTTCCACATCTGTGACCCAGGTTCTAATCCCACCTGGACCAACACTTAACTAAGTTTTCAGTGTCAACTTGATATGTGGGTTTTCCCTGAAACACCTGTCTGGGGTTTTCTTCCCAACTCTAAAAGTGAACATTTCTTTAGAGTAGTTTCCCTTGGAGTCCCTAAGAAGAACAATTCCCATGGAACTGATAAGATTTAATTGGTTACATCAAGTAATTTCAGACTAATTTCAGACTGAATGGACAGTTGAGCATCAAATTCTTAATTATGTGAATACACTCAGCCTTTCTCAAAATCAAAGCAGTCAAACTCCTTCTTTATCCATGCTGCACTTGACTTGAATCTGATGTTCCATCATACAAACAGCTGTGGGAGATTTCAGAGAGGTCAAGGAATGGTTTTGATTACAACTCTGATAACTGGTCCTACCAATGCTAGAGCCAGAGGCAGTATGGCTTGATATATATGCGTGGCCTCTCAAGAATGTGTCCTTCCATTACAAACCTCATGTATAGCGTAGACTTTGAAACCAACATAGATGCCCATTCGAACCACTGCACGTACAGCAGCATTCATTCCTGGTAATTAGAGAAGATAAGTTTACAAAATTAATTAGTCAAAAAAGAAAGCCAGGTAGAGACTGGCTCTCCAACTACTATTGAGTATGCAGACTTCTACCAAATACCACTTCTGTATGTGTTTAAGTATCAAAGCCAAAGGATGTACAATGTACATGTACATGTACTAGGACACACTATCTGCATGTACAGGTGTACTATATTTTCTGCATTCAATACAGTGTTAACCACTTGCTGCTGGGGGATCGTTTATGAGCACATAGGCTTTATACACGAAGCCGGGGAGCCCAAAACCAGGACAAAAGAGCTGGGCCTTGTAACAAAAAACAAATCATGCTGAGCTGCTGGGCATTACCACATTTTTTCACTTTCAATAGTGGAGATAATCCAGCCTTGTTTTGAAACAGTATACCACTGTTTTGGGCATTTAGTGTGAGCGGATTACCACGGGGACAAAAGCTCTCCACCACCGCAGCGATGAGCCACACACTACTGCTGCACGCTAATCTGGCCCCTATTGAAAAGAGGTCAGCAGTGCACTGAGCCAGGTTCGCGAACAAAAGGAAGTTATATAACATCGCACAATCTGGGCTCTTTTTACAAGGCTGCAGGCCTGACTGAAACACTCGGGCGTCAATAGATCTGTCTGTCTGGCTACAGTGGCCACCAGACAGTAATTCATGTGGGTGTAAACATCCATTAATTGAAATGATAAATTTTTTTTGATTTTTGAAAATTGAAAATCTTGAAATTCACCCATATGCGTGCCTGGCAGCATATTTTTAGAACTTTTTCCTTATTTTTGTTTCCCAAAATGAAGGACTGAAAGAATTGAGCATCTTGGGAAGGGTTTTTCCCCTCCATAAAAAGTTTCAGTGATGATCAGTCTTGCGATAGGGCCCAGGTCTACTCTAAAAACAAAGCAGTGTGTATATATTTTATTTTACCAGTACAGCAACTGAACATGGACAATATGTGTTTGGGGGACTCAGAAATTTCACATTGAGAAGTCCTTGGTCCCTTCAAGGTTTAGGTTGTCACTGTATGGTCCTTTTCACAACATCAAATTCAGACCTACATGTATTGCAAGTATAAACTTTTTCCCCCTTCTGAACTGAGGATAACAAAAACCTAAATATCCTGCCATTTATTTTCAAATTTGATTTAAAACAATGAGGCAGAAGATTTTTTACCATGAGCTTTGGGTTGTTTTTTTGCAAGCACAGCAAATGAACATGTGCAGTAAATATTTGGGGGACTTGGAATACTAGGGCAAATCTTCTCCGGGTTCATATTCACAAGATGGAAAATTCAGAATTACGCCAAGTACAATTTCAGACTTTACCTCCCTTTCAAAAAAGAATCCTCCAGGGCCACAGATCACAACAGGAAAAGTAAAACATCATGCAATTTACATTAATGGGAGATACTGGGACTTTTAGGGGGTAAAGGACCAAAGCCTTTTGCTGGCATAGCTCTGCCAGGATTCCATCTCACAACTGTGACTGTGGGCACTCAGAGCCAACCACTCACTAAGAGTCAATGAGTAGAGCAAATATTTGGTCTTAGTGTAATGCTGGCTGTTTCATGAAGAGCAACAAATGACTGGATTTCGGCCTTCACTTTGAAACAAAAATATGGGGCCTACATAGGCCTACATTTGATTTGAAAGGGAAATTTGGACCACTGCAACTTCCTGCCGAAAACCTGACTCAAGTTTTGAAACTCACTAAAATACGACATCATAGGCCCTATGCACCATGGACCTTAGTTATGAATGAATTTTCATTTTTTTGCATACCAAGTAAGGCTTAAATTTTTAGACTTTGGCCTAAACTCCTACTAGGCCTAGTATTAGCCCTAGTTGTAGGAGGCCTAACACTACAGTGTTATACTTAACAGAAGTATTGGGGGCGGGGACAACCCAAAGCAGTTCCATTTTTCTGATTTCTGTCGTTAACTGGTTAAGTCCGTTGTGAGTTACTTTTTTCACGATAATCAGCTTCAAATGTAAGTGTAGATGTAATCGCACTTCTTTTGTTTTAATTCCTTAATGAACGATTGGTGCGGTCTTGATGGGTGATGAAGCTAACCTTGCGAGTCGCCTCCGCTTGTGAACACAGCGATGCATTTGCCGGTCCCGACCATTCCAAAGCCCTGGCCAGCTTTGGTGAACTTTGACACTGTATCGACATGATCCTCGCCAGAAAACGACACCGATGCCGTCCGTCCGATCATGCTTATATCTGCCTTCAGCTTCTTGATGCTGTGAGCACCGTCCTCGATACTGTCGTCCATGTTCAGGCAGAACTAATGTGGTGAACAATGGAAAGAAACTAAACTTTCGACTCAATCAAACCGGTGCGGCCAGCAATGCACATCGTATCCGACACAAGCTTGCCGCACGTACGCCAATAGACCGGTTCCCTACTTTAAGTTGTATTCTATACCATGGTTCGAACAACAGGCAACAGACGGCATTGTCGGTCGATCGCCCTCCTACCGCGCGCCGTCGCGTCGTGATAAAAAAAAATTGGACAGACGAACAAGCGCAACCGGACGCGCCCCTGAAACTGAGGGAGAAAACAAAAATCGGAATTTAGTTAAGTATTCCGTGAAATAGATTAAATATGCCTTTGAAAAACAGACTGTATTCAAGATAGAACGCATAACAGAAAAATACACCAATTTTACAGCAGAGATGGTGAGGAGCGATGCTAAAATTTTCATTGCAATTAACTCAACTGCCGACTGACGAAAGTGGTAAGCGCTTTGTTTTCGGCTAGTTCAATGCGTTGGATTTTGTGTTTGGGCTTTGCTTATTTGTCAACCCCCCCCCAAAAAAAAAACCAAATAAATTCACAGAAAGCTGGGGGCTGGGTCGAAATCAAATCCAAGAACTCCAGGGGGTTTTAACAAAACCTGTCAATTAAACTAAAACTTTTTTGGATGGGCGAACCACGCCCCAAATATTCGAAGGAGGGGATGGGGGACTTCTTTTTAGGTGGTCAAACACTTTTGACATCTTTTTATGTAACCCTTTACGGTCTTACTGAGGAGAAAGGCTGTGTTTGGGGGGCTTCTACACGGTTTTGGAAGGGATGGAAATTAGAAAAAATAGAAAAATACCTTTCCGTTACTTTTTTCAAATGGCAAGGAGGGGGCCGGGCCCCGACCCCTGGATCTGCCATTGCTCAAAAAGGAGCCATTGTGCTGGAACTTAACGCTCGAAAGCTGCAGAAGGTACATCACATTTAATAGTTCATTGGGAAGCTAGGGCTTTGTCTCGACCAGTTGCTGTTTACAGTCCTCGATAATGCACCTTGACGTTTCAATGAATCTTATTTACAACGTTCGTAGGGTACGTATGGCAGGCATTCTTCACCATCTTAAATCCAAAATTTTCCTCCAACAAACGCTGCCTATGACACTGCTGTTAGAAATGTAGAAAAGGATTTTGAGGTATTTCAGTTGAACGTATCTGGAAAAGGGTCTTACCCCCGTTTTAGACAGGCGATCTAAAGTACTCAGTACAGGACGCCTGTCTGCAGTGGGCGAGTCTATCAATCACGGACAAGAGAGCGTCTCGACATGCGCCGGAGTAGCTAACTAAAACGCTGCTACGGTGCACCGCATGTGCCATCCACACAATCAATAAAACGTCGCATAAAATATTCTAGTTTTACCTACCTTTTTAATGACTGCACCTTTATTTTGATTAATAAATTCAGAAGTAACAAAAGCAAGCTCCACTTTTGTTCAGAACCCAACTGAAGGAAACAAGCAAACTGTCGTTATCAGAAATTTTAAATAAATTGGAACGGATTCAACTGGTTACTAATTTTAAAGGCTTCATTAAATCAGAAATTCTCTTCACACATTTCTCAATAGTGCTAAACCACCTATAATTATACTCATTTGCCTTTGTCATTAACATAATTTTTCTGTTTNTTTTCGTAGATATTCTCTCTACCTTAGCAAAACCAGATAGCTTTGAAAAGCTTCAGTCTTTCACCAATGTCATAAAAAAAAAGCTCAGATTATTCTTAATTCTGTCATTCCCTAAATACGGAAACAAGTTTTGTTTTGCAAATTATCTTTTGCAGGGTTGATACAAATTGCTTATCAAGAAACTCAAACCAATGTTTATATGGGGATATTTCTATGTACAAACCTACCACCAATGCATTGATCAAGAGCAGTATAAAAGAAACCTAATGCTTCATTCTATAAGAATAGTTGCCATCACTGTCCTGACACCTAGGTGAGGTCATAGGCTCATTGCCACGGCAACTGATTCACACATTTTCTTAGAGTGTTGACAACCATGCAACTTGAGCAGAAGCTAATTTTTGAAAAGTGGCTTTTGTTTTCCCTCAAAAGAAACCAACATTGCAAAAATGACGATTTTTGGCTACAACAGACAACATGCTGCCAAGTGTGAATGTTTGAAAGGTTTGCATTGAAAATGTTAACTATTTACTAGCGGGTATCACGATGCCTTTTGTGTGTGAATCCAAGTGCTTGTGACCCCAACAGGATGTGGCTTGTGACCCCAACAGGACGTGGCTTATGACCGACGGCAAACACGCACAGCATAATTCCGACAGTGACTGTTAAAACAACAAATGCCGCACTATAACTAAATGAGTCAGTCTTAAGTAATCACGTGCAAAACTCTTCGCTTTGGTAACATCAATAGCATCTTCACTACAAATATATTCCATAGCTTACCCTCAGACTACATTATCAAATCTGCTTATGAACCTTTCATGCATATTCATGAACTAGCACTGTTGTCTCATGGGTCAGTCCTTGGATAATGGTTAAAGCTGTGGGCGGGGTTAAATGAGCTGAAGAAAACTTCTACATGTATTTGTCATACACCAGTTTTTACCAGCTGCTACATTTCATTCAATACTCATACTTAGTTTGATCATTCACTCTGAAGATAACAGAACTGGGAATTAAAGAGAGATTAAATTACGATGTCTGTGGTGAGTCTATGCCCACCTAAATCACAACCATTTCATAATAAATGCTGCTAAGGTGTGCTGAACAATATTCATTCGCATCCATTCACGGTAGAAGCTAAAATAGCAAATTCAAATACTGGCCGGGCCTGTTCCCAAAAGCCAAACAACTGGCCAGTACTTTGCTCATAAATACCTTTAAAACTCTGGTTTCATGACTAAATTGGCATTTTTATCTGCACATTTTTTTCTTCTGCTCTTCCAAGTGATTTGAAATCTTTGTATCTGATTCTGGAGATTCAACAATCATATTCGAAGAAGACTTGTATCTACCCATTTTCTTATGCCAACAGAATGTGTAAAAAACCTACATACTAAGCTCAAGAAAAGGTAAGACCTGATGAACCTCACAGCAGTATATTCTAACGTCAGTTATCTTACCCAGAACAAGGTTAAAAATTAGTGGCTCTAGAAATCTGAGATTTGCATAGAATTACAATTTTGGAAACTTTTCCTGATGAAAAAAAAGAACTAATTTCAAACAAAGTAAAATGGGTTTGAAATACATGTAACTAGAATTTCACCTGTTCCTAACAATGTGATTGAGTGACCTAGATTCCATTTGTAAAAAAAAACTCAGGAAGAGAACAGGCCCATGGAGTTGAAATTAAAGTTGAAGCTAGGAGAGAGGAAATTACATGTACCACAGTGGTTCATACACCATGCGCATCACATACATACGCTGCATGTTAAGGCAACCAGCAATGCTTATCAAGTTTATTGTTTCAGTGAGGGTTATCTACACAGTAGGGACCCATGTTTTTAATGAGAATAAAATGTGTGTGACACTCATTTAAAGCGTCTTTATAAACTCTTTAATTTCTCATAGAGATAATGAAGTTACCGGCTTTTTGTTTCTTCAGAATCCTCATTCAAGGTTAGATCACTCCTGTCAAAGTTATGCTCTGTAAAATGCATTTGTGGTACAGGTTTTATTTAGTTATTTCTATAATGACACTCTTTGGGATGAAAAGAACAAACGTGCAAAACGTCCTGGTTAGTTTACAAGTGAAGAAAGATGGACAGATTTATCTGATGACCAGACTTAGATGCCTTTACTGGGATGGGACTACGTCTGCAAACAAGTCGTATTGCAGTTTAATGTATTTTTAACCAAAAGACTTTTGTGATTTGCTAAGCTGCAAGCCCAGTTCAGTTTAACCACTTTGTACCGGATGGCTTGTAATCAAGCAGCACAGGCATTCAGTGCCAGCTACACAGATGACCATTTCAACACCTTGTGGCAATTTCTGCATGCAGCAGCAGATGACGTCTCTACTCATCCCAAGGCTAGAGTGATTCCCATTGCATTTGTTCTCACACAAAGTCTCCAACTAGTCCATGGAGGTTTAGTGTGTGTTGAGCCCTCAGGCAGCTGTGGGCCATGACCAGGCACTGAAGCAAATACTGTTCTGAGAAATTGCCTCAAAGTATGTAAAAAGTGACAAAGCAGTAAGAAATGTTGCACAGAAATGGAACAAATGACCATCAAGGGTCAGCATTTGTAAAGTTCATCTCTGCAAAGGTCTGTGGTTGTGATATTATTGTTTTAAAAGACGGTATTTCTAGCAAAACATTTAACCGCACCTGGCATATCTTTGTTGTTGAATAATACCCTCAGTGTGTACTTCAGAAAGCAAGTGTGAATGTGGTTCATTACAGTAATGGATCTCCTCAGATTTAGTTGGTCAGTGCACTTCATTTTATCTGTGTATGATCTCCCATCAAGATCAAGTGTTGAATAATGAAAATAATTAAGAAAAAAATTAGTTAGTAAAATAATTCTACTTAATAAGAATCCGATCTCATAATAAAATGCTGACCACTGCCAAATATATCAGGTTTCCTAGTGCCGTTGCCAAGGTAACAATTTAGCCAATAGATTTAGCCAAGCGAATCCTGACATTCTGTCACGAAGGTCTTGCCATTATACGTAGTCTTGAACTGCTCTGGAAGTGCAAACTCCGTCTAACAAGAAAAAATTCCACAGACATTATGTTTTAATGAGAAAATAAAAATCAATGTACACTGTGACCTAATATCAAGTCCTGCCTAAATCAAGTTTTACACAGAGACACACAAATTCCATACTATCATGTTCAAATGCACTGTGCAATGAAGACACACTGAACTGCAATGTGGTCAAGCTGTAGGCATGGAAAGGTGCCACAGGCAGCCGTCAATCGACCAACATCTACCCTTGGATAACAGAACTTGCCATACATGTCCAGATGTTGGTGTCAGACCAGATCAAGCCTCCCCCCCCAAACAAAGAGACTGTCATGACAGGGAAGCTGATAAATGAGGCTGAAGTTGAGACTACCATAAGCCTAAGCACAAGTACTGGTAGCAGTTTTTTTTTCACAATTCACTTGAGGAGCTTGTGACTTTGCTTGACCCTATTCAGACTGGGTTTTCATGAGCATGTTTTCACAGGGTGGGGTGTCAATTTTTTTTCCATTTATTTTACATTTTGTTTGATATTTTTCATACACTGTTTTGACATTCATGAGAAGAAAAACATACAACTTGATAGAAAAAAATATATTCAACAATTCTGCATGACACATCCATGTATAGTCGAGTGTATGGAAAAATTCAGTTTTTGGATGACCCTTGACCCTTAATTGCCATGTGACATGAAAACACTGTGTCCAAGTTTGGCAACTTTGGTATCAAAAATTGTGTAAGACTTCCAAAAAAAATAGACATTTGCAGCAATTTGGGAGAACGGGCAAAGTGTCCATGGTGGAGGGGACCCTTCTGTACAGGGTTAAGACTAGGATGACTTGTGATGGACTCAACTACTGCCACTGGTCTGTCAAGGGGGGAGGGGGGAGAAAGGGAGGTACTTGCCTCCCGGAAGAAAATGAATACTAAAAAAAAAAGTGAAACACCCCAAAAAAAGGAGAAGAGGGATTGAAAATGGCCAATTCATTTCAAAACACCTGGGAATTAAACCCCCTTCCATTGTTAATGGTTTAGCAGTTCACTGCTGGTAGCCTTCTGCTTCCCCTCCTCCGAAAAATCTAGCCCCTCCCCCCAACAAAATCCTGCCGCTATCCACGAGCTGAAGTCTTACGATGAAATCTAGAAGGAAAGAAATTTTGAAAAAAATGCTCACATAGTCGCCGTCTGCCTTAGGTATCAGCACGTTCATCTCAGATGACTTGGCCGTGATGATCATGGTGTCTAGGGAGTCTGGACCCAGATACAACATGGCACCATCTGTCTTGTCAATGCTTACAGTAGGTACTTTCTCCATCACCTGAAATGCAAATGAAAGTATTCAGACAATATAACTTGACAGTAAAAAGACATGAAACTGTGGGCACTAACGTGCACATGCTTGTGACCAAACACAACAAAAAGAGTCACAAGTCAAAGGTCTTTAATAGAATCTTACACACTGTAAATAAATTGGAGGTCTCATTATCTTCTACCTTTTTATCTATTTTCATTGGGATGTCAAACTTGGTTTGTATATGAAAACGAGGAGCTCAATTTGTTCTTTCTTGTGAAAACTAAGACTGAATTATTGAAAATCTGAAAATATTTCTGGGATTCGGTCCAATTATTCTCAGTCTATGCCACACTCCAGTGATCATGTTACTCTACAGCTTTTCATGGCATCCATTCAGGGCTTGAATTGGTGTTAAATTTCCTAAATGTTGTAAACATCATTACTTTCATTCCAACTCCCGTCACATTTTTTCTGGGTTACAATCTCAGTCCTGCAAAATCCTCCAACTGCCTGCATGCTGGTGGCAAAATACTGCCAACAAGCCAGGTTAAAATGAAATACAACCCAACGCCCACAGCAGTTCCTGCATATGGACAAATTTGCCTCTTCAACAAGGAAACAAATTTTCAACACATTCTCCTTGTGGCAATATTTGCCCAATCAATTTTGTGAGCTTATGCTGGCACTGGCGATATTCTTGAAAATTCACATTTCTCATTTATGCAAAGACCTGTTGCAATGACGGCTACATTGTTGAGGTTACACCCATCTGACCCCATATATCCACAAACCTTATCATGTAAGAACATAGTCAGTACCAATGTTAGTTCAAAGAACAGAGCAAATAGGTCTAGTTTGTAACAGTCCAGGGATTTCCTCTTCATAAAAAGGAAATATAGGACATCAATCACATCTATGATTGTTTTCTGGTCTGGTAAGAAACTGCCTTTGAAAGTATCTTGGTGTTCAGCTCCAGCGCCAAATTAAATGTTTTATGGGCCTCAACCCTAACTTCACATAAAGCTGGGTCATTCCACGAAGTTGGGACACAATTTGTGATGGTGTCACTTGTTACATCTGCAACTTTTACCACCTGTCATGACCTGTAGAGTAGGCCATTTACTCTGTAAAAATAATACAAACCTCTGTATTCAGCCTTGCACGATGTATAACAATGTCAATTTGGAGTCCACATGGAGGGAAATAGCTGCTCATTTTACGGAAACCATGTAACAACTGACACCGTCACAAGTTATGCCTTAACCTCGTAGAATGACACAGCTACAAAATACTATTTAGTAGTAAAATGTAATGCAAAGTGCTGTGGCTTGCATAAGTACATGACCTTACTGTTCTATGAAGCTATTAGTTACTATTACTAAGTCAATGTACCATACAGTGCTGTGGTTTGCATGAATACATGACCTTACTGTTCTTTGTACAATTAAGAATGAAAGTGCCCCAGACTGGAAGTAGTAATTTATAGTGCAGGGTCTTCAATGTCATACTACTAAGTAGTATTTTAAGTCCTGTCCCCCAGGTGATATGCTAGGGGGTTAGGGTTAAAGGCCCTGGTGTTTCAAAAGCCCTTGTCAGCTCAAGGAATGCTTTGAGCACCAATTTCACAGTAGCTGGCAAACACTGGAGATTCTCATTTCATGTTGGTCCTAAGCTGTACGTGGCTAAGTACTAAACAGCTAGCTTGAAACTCCACCAAAAGTGAAAAGCCAAAGGGTGATGACAGAACTCTGTACATCGGCTGTTGCCGACGTGAGAAGACATTTTGATGGGACACAGTGAAACGTGTATTTGAATGACGCTTAACAGATTTGTAGGCTGTTGAATTTTTCGCAGGCCCTTGGTACATGGACATTAGCGGTGCCTATTAGATAATTGGTCCCGATCAAAGCATTATGATTTTCAAAGCAGTGTTTTACTAATTCTAGTGGAAAGAATGCCTGTCAAGATGGCTGGACTACTTAAGTTAACTGTTTGGGGCTACACTTCCACATTGGTCAAACCACTGGGTATCACTAGCTGCATGTATTGGAATGTACTTCAAAGAGTCTGCCTTATGTTTGACCAGAGATGTCTGCAGTACAATGCTAGTGTCCAGAGGCTAGATAGTTACAATCCAACTTGCTCTCGATTTCTGCAACAGGTAACCAGCTATGCTCACCTGCATTTGCACACTTTGGCAGTTGACGGTGTCCACTGACCCCAGACACTGGTCAAACACCAGCGCTGTCTTCTTGCAGCCATCTGCAAATGTAACAAATGCATTAGAATGCGGTGTTAGACACTAACGTTCACAGTAGGCTTGTGCGGTACTCCCGGTTCCAAGTGGAACCGCGGCTCCAAAAAAAATTGGAATCGGCAGCTCTGCTTTCATGAAGAACCGGGTACCAACCATTGCCAGTTCCACATTCAAAGAGCCGACTCCAAACATCAAATCCGAGTCCCAGTCACGTCACCACTCAGCGCCCGTAAGTGACAACTCCAAACATCACATCCACGTGTACTTGTATGCATAGCATGCTGTACATTATTGCAGGGCACCCTTCCACACAAGGGAAAATGCGTACACAAACAAACTGTAAAATACCTTTGTGTCTGGGTACCCAACCCCATTGGTTATTGCACATGTGGCGCAACAGAGCTTTGACGGCCAGAAGCCATGAAGCTGGAAGACTGTTTTACACATGGCTGTGACATCAACATTGCCTGGTACTTGGGTCTGACGTGTTGTACTTTCCGCATATACATGTATGACACCAGGCAAAATCGTCAAGTGGTTAAGAAAAAGCCTAGATGCTGACCAAACTTATGCACCAGAGTCCACAACTTTTTTACTGTCCAGCGAGGGTCTCGGTTCTCAACTTCTCACTTCAGAACCAGTTCCATGCATGGACCCGGGCAATGGCATAGCCTACAAGAT